AAAAATAACAATAAGTTCAAATATTTGTGCAGAGAAACACAAATCTATTACAGAAATCTTTTTTAATTGATGAACTCTTTCTTTTAACCTGAAACTTTAAGAAAGAAGCAATTTCAACACAATATTTTAACATGAACTTGTTTGTAAATAGGAATAAGTCAGTTTTTGTTGTAAAATCCTGCACTCGGCTCCACTTTTCTCATGTTGGACATTTTTCTGATGAGGGTGTCACGGTCAACAGTCAAAACGATCGTCCTTTAAGAGCGTTTGGAAAGAGACAAGTCTTCATTTGTGCTGCTCTGGTGGTGGGAGGGCCACGTACAGAGACGCTGGAGACGCTGCTGTGATAAACACCACAGAAAATTAACAATATCTTAATAGAAAATATAATTAAAATATTTCAGTAGAAAATCAGCTGGGGGCCAGATTAAAGGTCTTGGAGGGCCTTATGTTTGACACCCCTGGTATAAATATTAACATGTGCACGGTCAGTGTGTGTGTTTGTGTATGAACATTAACGTATATTGGATTGTGTGTCTGTATTGTATATATGTGTGTTTACTAAAAGATTTAAGTACATTTTCTTTCCTGCTCTGATAAAAGGTAAGTTTTGTGTTGTTTTCTGTAAATAGTTCTGCGTCTCGTCTCCTGTTCTATTTGTTAATAAGGTTTGGCAAAATACGTGTTAAAACTTCAGCCTAAACCAGGGTGTCCAAACTTTTTTCATCAAGGGCCACATATGATATCTGGGGGCCACATTAAAGGTCTTGGAGGGCCGCATCTGGCCCCCGGGCCGTATGTTTGAAAGGCACTTCTGATTAAATATTTTGTCATTTTTACCCGCAACTGTTCTCATGTAAACAGGCCCGAAACAAGCAACAGAACTGTAGCTCTGTGACAAAATAATTTAGTAAAATACGTCGATATTTCAGCGTTTTTGCACACTCCTATTGGCCTGGAGGTTATTTATGTCCATTTCTATATCTTTAATGTCTGTGGTATCTGCCAATATCAATAATGCGCCACATCAGCGTCGGTATCGGCTCCGAAAATCCATATCCGCCCGTCCCCCGCGTGATTCGCCGGTCCTTGTTCGAGCTTTGTTGTTCACTCTACCGTTCGCCTTCAGCCCGAATTTTCTCTCTTGTTTCAATAAAACTCAGTCAAAATATTCTTCTGTGAACCGCATACATTAAACATTTTTCTCCGCCGGTTCTGGCCCGAGTTTGAAGAGGAGCCGAGCGTAATGGGCCCATGTAGTGAGACCTCTCCCTTCTGTTTTCTGTGCCCCGCGTGCGCTTCTCCTGGTTAATATTCAAACGCGCTGCTCCCAAAATCAACAGGCACTTTGGACTCAAAAACACTCCAAACGCACTCCAATTTGAGCCTCTTCGGGTCAAACTACTTCAAGTGCGGAGTGTTTATCTCCATCTTGAATCGGGCCTGGGGTCTCGGGTTTGGCCTGTTTTACTTTAATCCTGGTTTAGTCCTGGTTTATTTGGATTTATGTGTTTCTCAAATCCTGCAAAGATTGGATTAGAATTTGGGTTTATTTGTCGGTCTGGTCCGGTCCACTTTGTTTAGTCCAGTTATGACTTCTTTGTGGTTTAGTTTAATCTCGGTTTTGATTTATATAAGGCTGTTTTTAGCTTGTCCAGTTGAATTTCAGTCCAGATTTAGTCCTGGTTCAGTTCCAATTTAGGTTTAGGGTTATTTTAGTTCTGTTTTAGTAGTTTTAAGTCTTCTTTTTGGTTAAGATTATCTCTTTTTGAAGTGGTATAACTCTGTTTTTATCTTGTCCAACTGAATTTCAGTCCAGATTTAGTCCTGGTTCAGTTCCAGTTTGGGTTTAGGTCTGTATTAGTCCTGTTTTGGTAGTTTTAAATCTTCTTTTTAGTTTAGTTTCTCTCATTTTGACTTAGTATAATGCCGTTGTTTTCTTGAATTTTAATTGAACTGAGTTGAATTTCAGTCCAGATTTAGTCCTGGTTCAGTTCTAGTTTGGGTTTATGGTTATATTAGTCCTGTTTTGATCCTTTTAAGTCTCCTTTTTAGTTTAGTTTCATTCTTTTTGACGTAATTTAACTTCGTTGTTGTCTTGTCTAATTGAATTTCAGTCCAGATTTAGTCCTGGTTCAGTTCTAGTTTGGGTTTAGGGTTATTTTAGTCCCGTTTTGGTAGTTTTAAGTCTTTTTAGTTTAGTTTAATCTCAGTTTTGACATGGTATAACTCCGTTGTTATCTTGTCTAATTAAATTTCCGTCCAGATTTTGTGCTGTTTCAGTCCTCGTTTGGGTTTAGTCCTATTATATTAGTCCTGTTTTGGTCGTTTTAAGTCTTATTTTTAGTTTAGTTTAATCTCGATTTTGATTTATATAACTCTGTTTTTATCTTGTCCAATTGAATTTCAGTCTGGATTTAGTCCTGGTTCAGTTCTAGTTGAGTTTAAGGTTATATTAGTGCTAGTTTGATCTTTTTTAAATCTTCTTTTTAGTTTAGTTTCTCTCTTTTTGATCTGGTATAACTCTGTTTTTACCTTGTCCAATTGGATTTTATTCCAGATTTAGTCTTGGTTCAGTTCCAGTTTAGGTTTAGGGTTATTTTAGTCCTGTTTTGGTAATTTTAAGTCTTATTTTTAGTTTAGTTTAATCTCAGTTTTGATTTATATAACTGTGTTGTTATCTTTTCCGGTTGAATTTCAGTCCAGATTTAGTCCTGGTTCAGTTCCAGTTTGGGTTTAGGTCTGTGTTAGTCCTGTTTTGGTAGTTTTAAATCTTGTTTATAGTTCAGTTTCTCTCTTTTTGACATAGTGTAACTCCGTTGTTTTCTTGAATTTCAGTTGAATTGAGTTGAATTTCAGTCCAGATTTAGTCCTGGTTCAGTTCTAGTTGGGTTTAGAGTTATTTTAGTGCTGGTTTGATCCTTTAAAGTCTTCATTTTCCTCTAGATTAATCTAAATTTTGATGTGGTTTAACTGTTTTTATCTTGTCCAACTAAATTTCAGTCCAGATTTAGTCCTGGTTCAGTTCTTGTTGAGTTTAGGGTTATTTTAGTCCTGTTTTGGTTCTTTTAAATCTTCTTTTTAATTTAGTTTCTCTCTTTTTGACATAGTATAACTCTGTTTTTACCTTGTCCAATTGAAGTTTAGTCCAGATTTAGTCCTGGTTCAGTTCCAGTTTGGATTTAGGATTATTTTAGTCCTGTTTTGGTAGTTTTAAGTCTTTTTAGTTTAGTTTAATCTTAATTTTGACGTGGTATATAACTCTGTAGTTAGTTTATCTAATTGAATTTCAGTCCAGATTTAGTCCTGGTTCAGTTCCAGTTTGGATTTAGGATTATTTTAGTCCTGTTTTGGTAGTTTTAAGTCTTTTTAGTTTAGTTTTTCTTTTTTTGATGTGGTATAACTCGATTTTTAGCTTGTCTAATTAAATTTCAGTCTGGATTTAGTCCTGGTTCAGTTCTAGTTTGGGTTTAGGATTATATTAATCCTGTCTTGTTCCTTTTAAATCTTCTTTTTTAGTTAATAAATGTCATTAACGTGTCCAAGTGGATTTCACACTGGATTTAGTCCTGGTTCAGTTCCAGTTTGGGTTTAGCCTTCTGTCATTTCAGTCTTGATTCTTTTAAGTTGTCGTTTTAGTTTAGTTTCTCTCTTTTCGATGTGGTATAACGATGTTTTTATCTTGTCCAACTGAATTTGAGTCCAGATTCAGTCCTGGTTCAGTTCCAGTTTGGTTTTAGGGTTATATTCGTCCTGTCTTGATCCTTTTAAATCTTCTTTTTAGTTTAGTTTAATCTTAATTTTGACAATTTGTCCAGTTAAATAGACTCAGCCGTACTGTTAGCGTCACTGCTTCCTTTTAGTCCTGGTTTAGTCTTGGTTCAGTTCTGGGTTGGGTTCAGAACAGGGCTGGATTTTAACCCTGGATTGATTTCTGTTTTGTTTAGTTTTTTTAATCCCAGTGTTGATTGTTGGTTTAATTTTTAATCTTTAGTTATCTTGTCAAATCGAGTTTTAGTCCTGGTTTAGTCTTTTCTGTATTCACCTTGGTTTCGGGTCCTAGTCTTGGTCTAATCCTGGTTTAGTTCTGGTTTAGTCACACTTGTTTTGCTCTCGGTTTAGTCATGATTTAATCTTTAACATAGATCTTCGTAATAATATTTGTTTAGTCGGGTTAGTTCTAGTTAAAGGTGCATTGTGTAACTTTTCCATCAAGTGAGATTTGATGGCGATTACTTTGTCCGAAATGTTTCACAGTGTGGCTTTAAACCTCAGAATACAAATTTCAGAGTTTTAAAACCTCTAAGGCTGCAATTAATTGAATTTTGATAACGATTTTTTGCGTCAAACGATCTCGAAATTCATATAATCGATTAAAAAGAAACAATTTAAAGCTTAACAACATTTATTTTAGGACATTTTTTATATAAACAAGTATATTTATTTCATTTTTTAAGTACAGAGATTGTAGAACAGCTGGATATATAGTTTATTTTGGATGCATTTTTGTTTTTCTATGCTTTATTTTTCATTTTCAAAGTAGATTTTATTCATTTTATGTTTTATTCATCGCAAAACTGCTCTGAGGTACAGATTCGTAGCCTATTTTTATTTTCAGTTTGGTATTTTTGCGTAAATTATGAATAACAAAGTGGGTTTTTTTGAAAGAAATGCTGAATAAATGCATCGTGTAACTAAAAAATATCAATATTGACCAAAATAATCGTGATAATGATTTTTTTCCGTCATAAAAACCACCTGTAATTGGAAATGTAAGTCCAGTTCAGTCCAGTAGTCCATTTAGTCGTTTACTAGTCCTCTTCTAGTCCTTCTCTGATCCTGGTTTAGTTCTAGGTCCCTGGTCCTTCAGTTTCAGTCCGTGTCCAGTCATTATCCACCCTCCTCCTCCTCCTCCTCCTCCTCCTCTTCCTCTTTTTCTTTTTGTCCCCGTCTGCTTTTAAAACCTCGTCCCATTAAAAAAAAAAAAAAAAAAAAAAAAAAAAGCTTTCTTCTTCTTCTCCTCCGCTGCTCTTTGCGTTGTTTGCGGCCGAGTCCCGGGTTGCCACGGCGACGCGAAATGCCACGGTCGAGGGGGTCGGAGGTCGAGGGTCGTCGATCGGCTCCGGACAAAAACACACAGACACACACAGAGCAGAGATTCGAGGCAGAGACGAGGACACGGGAGCCCAGACGGCGGCCGACGGCGGGACAGGAAGGACCTCTCAGCTTTAAGGACTCGCCGCTAATGAGGACGCGTATTGTGTAACTTTTCTGGTCGGGCGTCCGAAAAAACTGTAATGTGTTATTTATTTATTTATGACTCGTTACTGTCATTTCAAAGTGATTCGTTACATTGCAATATTACTGTGTTGAAAATGTAAAATATGACATTAATATTTAATCACTTTTAAGTCACTCTCGCCAAAAGTAACTGCGAAAATGATGAAGTTTTGCGTCGGATATGGACTGAACCAGGACTAAACCAAGACTAGACCAGGTCTAAACCAGGACTGAACCAGGACTGAACCAGGACTAAACCAGGACTGAACCAGGACTAAACCAGGTCTAAACCAGAACTAAACCAGAGCTGAACCAGGACTGAACCAGGACTAAACCAGGTCTAAACTAGGACTAAACCAGAGCTGAACCAGGACTGAACCAGGTCTAAACTGGGACTGAACCAGGACTAAACCAGAGCTGAACCAGGACTGAACCAGGTCTAAACTGGGACTGAACCAGGACTAAACCAGAACTGAACCAGGACTAAACCAGAGCTGAACCAGGACTAAACCAGAGCTGAACCAGGACTAAACCAGGTTTAAACCAGGACTAAACCAGAACTGAACCAGGACTAAACCAGAGCTGAACCAGGTCTAAACCAGGTCTAAACCAGAGCTGAACCAGGACTAAACCAGAGCTGAACCAGGACTAAACCAGAACTGAACCAGGACTGAACCAGGACTAAACCAGAACTAAACCAGGTCTAAACCAGGACTAAACCAGGACTAAACCAGGTCTAAACCAGGTCTAAACCAGGACTAAACCAGGTCTAAATCAGGACTAAACCATCTCTAAACCAAGACTAAACCAGGACCAAACCAGGACTAATCTTGGACTAGAACTTGGAATCTAGGACCCCTGAGCGCGATCGGGCGTCAGCTGCGTTTGTCCTCGTGGATCGTGAAGTTCTGCGTCGGTCCTTTCGCTCGCGGTCACCTGACGGTCTACGCGGGCGCACCGCCGACGTTTCACCGCTGCTGATACCGCGGTGATTTTAGCGAACTTGTATGAACGAAACGCAGCCCACGATATCGATACTGTATCATCACATTAAACGATACGATATTCGATATTTCAATATTTTTTGCACACTCCTGTTTCTCATCACAAACAGACCTGGAGTTATGTTTTGTTTCATTCTCACATATTTAACACACAAACCCTGCGCATTTAGAGTTCTCCTCTCAAACTGAAAACACTCTGTTCCACCTTGTGATGTCACGCGGTGATACAGGAAGTGCTCCACTGTGTTTTTAAACTCCACACGCCTTCACTAGAAACATGTGGATAATTTAAACCCTGGAATTTCTAATCTCTACTAAACAAAATGAATAAAATTAAAGTAAATAAAATAAATAAATAAAATAAATAAAAATAAATAAATAAATAAATATAAAAATAAATAAATACAATAAATAATAAAATAAATGAATAAATATAAAAATAAATAAATAAAAAAAATTTAAAAAAAAACATAAAAAATTAATAAAGAAAGAAAGGAGCTGCTCACTTAAAAACTACCTCTTCATGACATCACAAGGTGCAGCGGAGCGTTCTGAGCTTTGGAGACGCAGCCCGAATAACAACAAAGCGTTACTCAAACACGCGAACGAAACAAAACACAAAACTCCCCGCGGGAAAAGTGACACAGTGGCCCGTTTAAAACACCTCAGGTCACAATAATAAGTCCTAATCGCTCCCGTCAGAATGAGCTCCTCGGGGTTCGAACCGGCGATCTTCCGGTCTGTGGGCAAAGGCGTTTATGAAAAGAATAATAGAGGTAGTTGATTTGAAATATAGCTGCATCCAGAAATTGGAATAGCTCCATAAAGTAATCCATTTTATCAGTCATTCAAGGTAAGAGCAAATGGTCTCGGAAGCATCAAAAGAATGAGGGGTTGTAAATTTAAAATGGCACACAGCTCTGGGGCTTGTTGCTTAATTCATCGGCTGTAATAATTTACAAAATAGCTGAAATTTTAATGCCGCGAAATGTTTTATTCTGTCTTCTCAGTGTCGGGAGTTGGAGGCTTTTAATTTGAAAATATGTTTTGAGAAGAAGTTGAAAATACAGAAAGTAAAAGCGAACTGGGAATGGAGCTTAAACTGTGACGCTGGACTGAAGTAGTAGTAGTAGTAGTAGTAGTAGTAGTAGTAGTAGCAGGAACAGCAGTAGTAGTAATTGTAGAAGCAGTAATAGTAGTATTAGTAGTACCAGCAATAACGGCAGCAGCAGCAGTAGTAGTAGTAGTAGTAGTAGTAGCAGTAGTTGTAAATGAACTAATAGTGGCAGTAGTACTAGTAGTAGTAGTAGTCACAGTAGCAAAAGTAGTAGTAGTAGTAGTAGCAGTAGCAGTAATAGTAGTAGCAGCAGCAGCAGTAGTAGTAGTAGTAGTAGTAGTAGTAGTAGTAGTAGTAGTAGTAGCAGTAGCAGTAGCAGTAGCAGTAGCAGTAGTAGTAGTAGTAGTAGTAGTAGTAGTAGTAGTAGTAGTAGTAGTAGTAGTAGTAGTAGTAGTAGTTGTCACAGTAGCAAAAGTAGTAGTAGTAGCAGTAAGGCCAGTGGTAGTAGCAGTAGTAGTAGTAGTAGTAGTAGTAGTAGTAGCAGTAGTAGTAGTAGTAGTAGTAGTAGTAGTAGTAGTAGTAGTAGTAGTAGTAGTAGTAGTAGTAGTAGTAGCAGTAGCAGTAGCAGTAGTAGTAGTAGTAGTAGTAAGTAGCAGTACAGTAGCAGTAGTAGTAGTAGTAGTAGTAGTAGTAGTAGCAGTAGTAGCAGTAGTAGTAGTAGTAGCAATAGTAGTAGTAGTAGTAGTATAGTAGTGTAGTAGTGTAGTAGTAGTAGTAGTAGTGTAGTAGTAGTAGTAGTAGTAGTAGTAGTAGTATAGCAGTAATAGTAGTAGTAGTAGTATAGTAGCAGTAGTAGTAGTAGTAGTAGTAGTAGTAGTAGTAGAGTAGTATAGTAGCAGTAGTAATAGTAACAGCAGTAAGTAGTAGTAGTAGTATAGCAGTAGAAGTAGCAGTAGTAGTAGTTAAGTAGTAGTAAGTAGTAGTAGTAATTTAGTAGTAGTAGAGTAATAGTAGTAGTAGTAGTAGAGGAGTTGTATTTGTAGATATACAGTAGATGTAGCAGTAGTAGTAGTAAAAGTAGTAGTAGTAACATCTGTAATAGTAGCAGTAATAGTAGTAATTAGTAGTAGTAAGTAAGTAATAGCAGCAGTAATAGTAGTAGTAGAAAACTTTGATTATAGATCAAATTATGATGTTTTTTTTTTTTTTAAGTTGAAAATATATGAAGTAAAATGGTATTGAATCTTATGGATGATGGTCTGGACAGAAGTTGCAGTAGTAGTAGTTGCAGATGTACTCATGCCAGTAGTATTAGTACTAGTAAAAGTAGTAGTAGTAGTAGTAGTATAGATCATATTATGTTGAAATTCATCCTAAAATCCAATTACAGTACTGTATACAGATATTGTAATAGACTACGTGACCGCGCCCGGCTGTTTACATCTGATTATAAAATGTAAACAAAGGAAGCAGGAAGTTCTCCGGTGCACTGTTAGCATGCTAGTTGTTGACAGCAATGCAAAGTTAAGAAACACCAGCTCTGTTTTCACGTTTTAAGAGCATAAAAAGTTATTACGATGCTGAAATTTCAAACTCGATTTCACTTAGACGCTACTTCTAAACTTTATTTCTTGCCGCCCGTTTCTAAAATATTTATCTTGGTCCTTGTTTGGATGTAAATTAGCCCGTGCTGTTGGGTTGCGGGCGGCGTTTTGCATCCTCTGATCCACATGTAAATAGGGGCGTGCCTGTGACAGAGGCGTCCGTGCGCGGAGACCAGGACGCTGAACCCGACCCCGGAGCTCAGGGTGGGATCACGGCTCGGGTTACAAAAAAAACTCCCTGACCTGAGCGAAAAGGGGAATTTTCAGGATGGATTTCTGCTAGAATCGCAGCTTTGGACGTTCTGCGTTCGAAATGAAAACATCAGGATCATGTCGAGCGGGTTAATACGAACATTTTAAGACCAGTTGAGAATTATTTTAGAACGGAAACGGTCTGAAACTGCTCAAGACCAGGGTTTATCACAGAACTAAACTAAGACTAAACCAGGACTACACCAAGACCAAAAAATGAACCAAACCAGGACTGAACAAGTAAATCAGGACTAGACCGGTGCTTAAAGGTGCACTGTGTAACTTTTCCGGAGAGGGTTCGCAACTTGTCTGTCTCCATGGAGATGTAAATGCTTTGGTTTAAATGGTCCACAGTGCAGCATTAAACCAAGTCTTGCATTTATTCAACTGCAGGTGTTCAAAAATATCTACAAAACATGAGTTCTTATTGTGAGTGGGGTCACCTAGATATGATCCATTGATATTTTGATATTTTTGCACACCTCTAATTTTATGTTTAGCATTTACTGATGTATAAAAAAATTTTTAAAATTTTCTATAGCGCTTTTCTACCTTCAAGGCTGTCATAGCTTAGCCAGGCTGGCGCCACCTAGTGCCTCCGCTTAATTTCATTTCTCTCCAGCGACTAGGTCAGGCATCAAAATAAACTAGACGGTTTGCAGAAGCCCCGGAAGTGCAAGTTCGGGCACCAGCCAATCAGCGAAGAGCCATACACAGGACTTAAAGCCGGAAACAAAGAGAATGTTTGGTGAATTTTATCAAGTGGAAAGACGTTATTGTCCTTCTTCCTTACGGGATTTGGCGCATTACATACGTCACCACCAAATAACAGCAATTGATTAAATTAAAAAAGTACACGCCTACTGTCGAGCGAACGAATCCTAATGCTGCGAGGTCAGACGGTTTCCACAAAGTAAAACCGGCTGATGAATCAGGCTATTAAAAGCTAGAATCGCTCTGCCAACCTGTGGGTCATTGGATCTGACCGTTCTCCCAATTATGTTTTTTTTTTTGTTTTTAATTATATGTCAAGAGCGAAATACGAACTGCCAACCTTCAGATCAGTGGATAAACACTTTATCAACTGAACAATTGTCACCACAGCCTAAATCCGTAGCCGCTGAGTGCAGGGATTTATCTAGAAGGACTTTGGTTTTACTTAGTGTTTTTGGGTTTGTGAGAAATGACTGTAAAACCTTTAAAACATTCTATTAAATAAACTGTACTTTTCACAGAATTATGTCATTTCAGTGTAAAACCAAAAAACCACACTTGATTTAACATGTTTCACTCCCTCTAGAAGTGATTTTTCCCCGTGTATTTTCGCGCTGTAAGTTGACCATCGCGGTCTTACCCTCCCCTTGACCCACATAAGGACCAGAGGCACCGGTTGGGACCCCGGCCCTACAGATGAGGTCCCGTCTCTGGAGCGGAGGACATCAGGTGTGGCTAAGATCTCTCCGTCTGCTGCACATTAAGGTGGAACGCCGACCTATAAAATTAATTAAGCGTAGAAATCGTATACTGTATTATTACGGCAAAGTGTTACTCACAAACAAGGATCAGGTGGTGAAGAAGTACGTGCACTGTGGAGTAAAAGTACTGCTGATACTACTGTTTTTGTGTGTGGGAAATGGCTTTTGTGTTCTTTTGTGTTTTCGTTTGTCGGATGGTTGAACGCTGATGTGCCCTTAGGCAAGACACAGAGTAAAAGCCACAGAAAAGCAGCGATTTCTTTTGTCCTTCTGCTCCAAACAAGTCAAACGAAATTATTTAGGTCTGCTTCAAACATAAAGATGCACTGTGTAACATTTCTTGTGAAGGGTTTGGTACCTCCTTGTCTCCGTGGAAACATGTTTGTCTAGTGCAAGGGCGTCAAACTCAAATTCACTCAAATTCAACTTAAAAATTTAAGTCGTGGGCCAAACTAAATATTTACTGAAAATTTTCAACAACATCTGCAGGTTTTCTTTTCTTTCGAGATAATATTAAACCTCTACTTATTAAAATAAATGTTTAAAAATAGTTTTGCTTAAACATTGAATCAAGAACAAGTATAATATTAAATAAAATAAAATAATAACAAATTTTAAATACAGTAAATAATGTCTCTATAGTCTATATGTAGCCTGTTGGCAGCTCTAATACAGATTTGATACGATCTCGCGGACCAAATATAATTATATCACCCTCCAAATTTGGCCCCCGGGCCTGAGTTTGACATGTCTGGTCTAGAATGTTCCGCAGCAGCAGTCCACAAACTTTTTTTTTCTCAAAAGGAAAAATCTAAGGGTGTGCAAAAATATCAAAATTTCAATATATCGTATCGTTTAATGTGATGATTCAGTATCGATATATCGCCAAGAGGATTTTTTGGTATATTTTACCAAAATAACTGTAAAATACAAATAAATGTTGGAAATTACAAAGATGGTCTTGATTTGATCTCGATGGGCCATAGTCTCGGTCTTGGTCTTTAAAAGTCTCGATCTTGTCTTGGTTTTTAAAAGTCTTGGTTTTTGTCTTTAAAAGTCTCGGTCGTTAATAGTCTCGGTCTTGGTCTTTAAAAGTCTCGGTCTTGTCTCTTGGTCTTTAAAAGTCTCGGTCTTGTCTCGGTCTTTAAAAGTCTTGGTTTTGGTCTTTAAAAGTCTCTGTTTTTAATAGTCTCGGTCTTGGTCTTTAAAAGTCTCAGTCTTGTCTCGGTCTTGGTCTTTAATAGTCTTGGTCTTGGTCTTTAAATAGTCTCGGTCTCGGTCTTTAAAAGTCTCGGTCTTGTCTCGGTCTTTAAAAGTCTCAGTCTTGTCTCGGTCTTTAAAAGTCTCGTCTTTAAAAGTCTCGGTCTTTAAAAGTCTCGGTCTTGTCTCGGTCTTTAAAAGTCTCGGTCTTGTCTCGGTCTTTAAAAGTCTTGGGTTTTGGTCTTTAAAAGTCTCTGTCTTTAATAGTCTCGGTCTTTAAAAGTCTCAGTCTTGTCTCGGTCTTGGTCTTTAAATAGTCTGGTCTTGGTCTTTAATAGTCTCGGTCTTGTCTCGGTCTTTAAAAGTCTCGTCTCGGTCTTGTCTCGGTCTCGGTCTTGTCTCGGTCTCGGTCTTTAAAAGTGTAACTTAAAAACTACGTCACACACGCACTCCTACTCATTTTAATTTTTTGTTTGACGCTTCAGAAAATATCCACAATTCCACCGATTTAACGTGTTTTTCTTCTTCTCTTGTGTTGCAGAGTTCAGATGGGCGGAGTCATGGCTGCGTCCTCCTCCTTACATCACTTCCTCCTCCTCTTCCTGTCCTCCGTCCTGTTCCTGAGCGCCTGCCTGGCCGCGCCCACCGACATTCTGTACCGCGTCGCCGAAGAGCAACCGCCCAACTCGCTCATCGGGAGTCTGGCCGCCGACCAGGGCCTCCCCGACAGCGGCCACCTCTACAAGCTCGAGGTGGGCGCCCCCTACCTGCGCGTCGACAGCAAAACGGGCGAGATCTACACCACGGAGACGCCCATCGACCGCGAACTCCTCAAGGACTGTCGCAACCTTTTAGACGACGACAAATGCTTCCTGGAATTCGAGGTCTCCATCACGGACATGGTCAAAGGGATGGGGCCGAGGTTGATAGAAGGTCGCATCGAGGTCCTGGACATTAACGACAACACGCCGCAGTTCGTCTCGCCGGTCATGACGCTGTCCATACCGGAAAACACGCACGTCGGAGCGCTGTTCTCGATCCCGATGGCGAACGACCGAGACTCCGGCGTCAACGGGGTGGACAGGTACTCGCTGAGCACCAGGGACGATTTCGAGCAGCTCTTCAGCCTTCAGGTGGCGACGGATTCGGACGAAAAAGTTCCGCAGTTGGTGGTCATGGGCAGCCTGGACCGGGAGGCGAAAGAGTCGTACGATATGAACATTCTGGTGGTGGACGGCGGGACCCCCGAGAGGCAGAGCAGCGCTTTGCTCAGGGTCCTGATCACCGACCAGAACGACAACGCGCCGAAGTTCGAGAGGAGTCACTACGAGGCGAACCTGCTGGAGAACAGTCCGCTGGGGCACTCCGTCGTACAG